TGTGATGTATGTTAATTAGGGGGAATAGGTTCATGCATATTCATATGTACTTAGACAAGACACAATTAAAGCGAGCCCGAAACACGACATAGACTTTCTTAACTCTGCTTATACTTCGTAACATTTCATATGTAGTTTTGCAGAACAGAACAGAACAGAAGTTATTGCTCTTAAATATTAATTACATTTGATGACAATATAGAGAAATTTAAATATAATATAAATGTATAATAAATATCTATAATAAAGTGATAACTAGGAAAAATTACACTAATTTCTATTCATATTATTTGTGCATATGACAATACAGACTGACAATACTAATCTCTATTTTATTATTACTATTAATTGCGAAGAAACCATTCTTGACGACCGGTTTTCAGAAACCAAGGTGGCGGCCACACGTACGTCGATTTTCACTCCGTTTCCATCGTTTTTTCCTCTCTAAATGGATCAATCAGGTTTGCGAATTCTTTCGAAAAAGAAAAGAAAAAGGTAAAGAAAACGTTTTCCTTTTGTTTAATATCTTATAATATTATTGTATTTGTTTTAAATAACTGCACAAGCAATAGAACATTAATATTTTCGATATTTCTTACCCAAAAATGAGATTTTTCTGTCTTCGTCAAGATGTGTAAACCGCAAGAGGTCGCGTAATTCTTTTTCTGTGATTTTGTCATCCATGTTTTTGAGCAGTTCTCGAAGCTCAGAAGCCTCAATATAACCTTTGCCATCGGCATCAAATACATGGAAAGCATTCACGAGTTCTTCTTCTTCCTCGTCTGGCTTTTTTTGGTCTTGCATAAGTTGAACAAATTCGGGAAAATCCAGAACTCCATTTCCTACGAACCAAAAAAAAACACACAAAAAGAGAAATTAAAATGAAAAATCTACAATTTCGCGGAACTCATCGTTTCTGTAAGACTATTTTGACAAAGTTTACAAAGTTCATTCAAAAACGCCTTCTACACTAGATCACAAGCGCTTAAAGTGTATATGACACGAAAACATTTCAT